TCTAATACATACAACAGTCTTTTCAAACTCAAAAGATAGGGTTCTGCATCCTAATTTTTTTTTTGATACTTTTGAAGGATTTATAGAAGGGGGCAAAAAAAAAAAAAAAAAAAAATCTGCCTAGCCAGGCATTACATACCAGTTAGGAAGACAAAGTACATTATTTAAGACTTAACATATCCACAAGGACAATCTTAATCTGTTCTTCCCTTTGAAAGAGCTTAATATGGTCTGAAACACTCCTATCTTGTCCAACTACATGATTGCACAAAGCTTTTTGTGCTGAAATTAGACGACACATGTCTAAGAAGTGACTTTGCCACATGGGTGTGCAGACTATAAAGTCTCAAATAATCAAGTGTCTCAAATAATCAAACTCAACATTTACATCTTGGGTACTTTGGAAAATAAAAAATAACTTAGATTATCACATTTTTTGCAGAGCTACCAGATTTGATTTTTTTTTAAAGTGATAATTGGTAACTGGTGTTTTATGTCAGAGATTGAAAGCATTTTCATATTAGTTTCATAATTTGTTTTTAAAGGCCTGGTGGAACTAGTTCCTTCTTCAGATACCCTTAGGAAAATCCAAGTGGAATATGGTGTGACAGGATCCTTTAAAGATAAACCACTTGCAGACTGGCTGAGGAAATATAATCCCTCTGAAGAAGAATATGAAAAGGTGATTAGCATGTCTCCTTATTCCTAATAATTTTATTTAAAATGTATTTCATAGGTTTTTAATGCTTTCATTTTTTAGACTAAGCCATTTAGTCTAAATACGGAAAATAATATCCCCTAAGTGTAGTAAAGAATACGAAACAGACTGCATTTAATGGTAGGAATCTAAGTGAAACCAGTGCTAAAATTTCCAGAAAACATTCTACACATGTATTTAGAGACCAGGAAAGGAGAAGTATTTTTATAACCAATGTTATATTGCACAAAGATTTAGAACAAGTTATGGAAATAAGTAAGCATCAGCATCATGTAGTAGTTAAGAACATAGATGACCTGAGCTTGAATTCAGGTCCAAGTCACTCCCCACATATCCATAGGGCCTTGGGTGAATTATTTGACTTTGTCCCTCAGTTACTTGCTACCAAATATTATTAAAATAATAGTACCAAAAGATTGTTAGGAGAATTAAATGATTTTATACATATATATAAAGTAATACATGTTAATGTATGCTTTTATAAATCATATAATTGGTAATTAACCATATTATGATTGGAAACATGCATTTTCAGTTTAGTTTATTATTATTATTAATACTTTTATATGAGAAGAGGGCAATCTCTTAGGACATAAGACCAATAACTATGCTAATTTGGCCTAAGGGAGACTCAAGAACACTGAAGGGTGATATAAGATGATCCCAGTTTTAACATCATTAGTTTATTTTTGTTGTTGCTAAGTGCAGTTGAGTCCATTCCAGCTCATAGCAACATTGTATTGGGTTTCCAAGAGAAGCAAAAACCACATCTTTATTGCTCCAAGATTTGAACTACTGACCTTTTGGTTAGCAGCCCAATTCATAATCCACTGTGCTATCAGGCCTCCTTATATATACACACACATATATCTATATAAGGAGCCCTGGTAGCATAGAGTGGTGCCAGGTTTGTGATACGTTGCAGAAACATTTGTTGTTACCATCATTGTCATCAGTAAGATTTCTGGGGGATTATGGAGAGAACTTAACCACATAGACAGAGCCATATATATGACTGCTTTGCTCAGTAATGTACAATCTTGAGTTTAAACTAAATACATTTATTTTAAATTCAAATATTCATTTTTTAAAAATCTTACATTAAAGTAAATGCATTTGTTTTAAATTTAAATATTCATTTTTTTAAATGAGTAAGAATACATTTTGCTGTGTTTGTATTCTTTTGCAAGGTTTTTGTAATTAGTAATTTAGTAATTGCCAGAAATGTTATTGTTGCTGTTAAGTGCTGTGGAGTTGGTTTCAACTTGTTGTTGTTGTTGTTATGTGCCATCGAGTCGGTTCCGACCCATAGCGACCCTGTATAGGGTTTCCGAGGGTGTAAATCTTTACGGGAGTAGAAAGCCTCATCTTTCTCCCGCGGAGCGGCTGGTAGTTTCGAACCGCTGACCTTAAGGTTCGCAGCCCGATTCGTAACCACTACGCTACCAGAGCTCCTTAGAGCAACCCTTTTTAAGGTTTCCATAGGTGGACTAAGGAACTCTGGTAGCGTAGTGGTTACGAATCGGGCTGTGAAACACAAGGTCAGCAGTTTGAAACTACCAGCTGTTCCGCTGGAGAAAGATGAGGCTTTCTGCTCCCGTAAAGATTGACAGCCTCGGAAACCCTGTACAGGGTTGCTATGAGTCAGAACCGACTCCATGGCACATAACAACAACAACAATAGGTGGATTGGTGGCTTTGAACCGCCGACCTTGTGGTTACAGTCCAGTGTTTATTCTGCAGTGCCACACCAAGACTCCAATTGCCAAAATAGGCTGGACTAATGTGAAAGATGGTCTGTTTTCAGAAGCTTGCAGAGGACATAGAGAATTACCACATGGAACACAAAACACATTAATTCCATTATAGGATGTTTTAAGATATAAGCTGACTTTCTTAATACATATCCTTTCTACAAGCCAAAAATGAATATGGAGGAATAAATATTCTCCTATTCAAATTAGTCTTTGTCTCAGTGTTTTTCCACTTGTGGTAAGCAGTAGAGCCTGTGAGGAGCAGATTTTTAAACACATAATGCTTAAAAACTACTCAAAAGTAGCACTCACCCTGAATAGGAACTGGAATCATCTCTGCGCATTAGAAGCCAAAAGCTAACCAGGAGAAGCAAGCACCTTCAGAAGAGGATGGCTTGGGAGGGGGTTGTTTTGTTGTTGAAATAGGTGAAGACTGTTTTTTATTACCATGCCCCAGTTTATATGCCTGTTGAGAAAGTTTATAATAATAGTATTTTGATGGAGTCATTAATGATTAAATCTTTGTTGTAACTTTAAAGAAAGTTATTTTTCTTAAAATAATTTTGTATCTTTATTACAGGCGTCTGAAAACTTTATTTATTCATGTGCTGGGTGCTGCGTAGCCACCTATGTGTTAGGCATCTGTGATCGGCACAATGATAACATAATGCTTCGAAATACAGGACACATGTTTCACATTGACTTTGGAAAGTTTTTGGGCCACGCACAGATGTTTGGTAGCTTCAAAAGGTATTGATGCTTTATTATTTGCTGTTGCTAGTGAAAACAGGTGCTTCCTGTTTCACAAGTGGATATCCCATAACTTTTCCTTTTTTTTTTTTGAAGTGCTTGTGACTCCTTTTGAGCTTTGAGCGCTTGTTGCATGTACCATCCAATTAGTTCTGACTCAGTGACCCTGTATAGAGTTCCCAAGGAGCGGCTGGTGGATGTGAACCACCAACCTTGCAATTAGCAGTTCACTGCGTATTCAACAGTGCCACACCAGGAAGCCCCTCTACTCTTTTTTTTTTTTTTTTTTAAGCACTACTGGAGAGTAAAATTGCCCTAAAAGATAGTATACCATATAGTAGACAAGAGTGAGTAAGTGAGCCCTGTTGAAATTAATTAAGGGAGATTTATTTTATCCAGTTGGCTATGCCTAGTAAAAGTTTTGTAATGACAGTGAGCACACTTGCTTTCTAAGTGATTGTAACTACTATGTGTGGATTTATAAATACCACTTGGAGAAAGTTTCCTATATAACTTTAAATAATGAAATTACTTTAGGATGGCTTTCTAAAATTGTAAATTAAAAAAAATTGTACAAATGCTAAACTGCCTATTATTAAGTTTTCCCATCAGAAATTGCTTTAATTCAAATAGCTTAGTTTAATAACCACATTATTAGTAATACGATAGCTATTCCCCCATTTCACTAGGCTTCTGTAAAGAGAATTTACTTTTCTTTGTAAATAGGGATCGGGCTCCTTTTGTGCTGACCTCTGATATGGCGTATGTCATTAATGGAGGTGAAAGGCCCACCATTCGTTTCCAGTTGTTTGTGGACCTCTGCTGTCAGGCCTACAACTTGATCAGAAAGCAGGCAAACCTCTTTCTTAACCTCCTTTCACTGGTAACTATTCTTTGCAATTATTTAATTTTACATTTATACATCATTGTTTAAGTATCTAAAAAAGGATGTCTTGTGATTTTAGAATAACATGTATTGGTACTATATGGAAGAAGTCAAACACAGTATATGCTGTATGATTCCATTTATAAAAGTTAAAAAAAAAAATTTCAGTAAACTGGTTACCCTGGGTGGAGAGTGGTCACTAAAAGGGAATTTGAATGGGGCAACTGGGATGCTGGTAAGTGTTTTGTGTCTTAATCTGGATGTGTTCAGATTATGAAAATTCAGAGTTTTTACATTCATCATTTCAAATCTTTTCTAGATACATACGGTGACATGTGCCACCAATTCAGTTATGACTCATAGCAACCCTGGATAGGGTTTCTGAGGCTGTCAGTCTTTACAGGAGCAGAAAGCCTCATCGTCCTCCCATGGAGTGACTGGTAGATTTGAACTGCTGATCTGGTCAGTTAGCAGCCCAGTTTATAATCCAGTACACTACCAGAGCGCCTTATGCTAATTAAGGCTGTAACTGATGTGGTAGTAAGTTCACAAGACTAGGCAAGCAAAAGTCTGAATTTTGGTTTTTATCCCATAAACTAGCTTTGTGACTTCCAACAAGTCATTTCTTCCTTAGTCTCAGTTTTTTCATTTGTAAGAGAATCACTTAGATCCCCAAAACCATAACAAACTCCTGAAACTATGATGATTCTTGCTTTGTTCTGATAACTTGATCAGAACAGAAAGGTGAAGAATAGATTTTTTTTTTTTTTTTTAATTTTAATTTCATTCTCAAAGCTGTTTTTTTCCTTCTATAGATGATTCCCTCTGGGTTACCAGAACTCACAAGTGTTCAAGATTTGAAATATGTTAGAGATGCACTTCAACCCCAGACTACAGATGCAGAAGCTACCATTTTCTTTACCAGGTAAAAATTAAGCATGTTGGAGAAGGCTCATAGAATTTGGTTTTGATTTGTTTTACCTTTGTTTAAACATGTGCTACATATCAAAATTCTGATTTATAGGAAAAAATTGTGATTCATATTTGTATAAGCAAATAGCAAATAAGTTATCAAAAATTAATTTCTGAATAGCTATTAAGGTTTTATAAAAGGGTTTAAAATCTATTTAATTATCTCAAAATATAATCTCAAGTTTTATTTAATATACTATTTCAATAGTAAAAACTATTATTATGAACTATTTCTATATATTCTATAGTGTAAAATACCTCTTTAAGTTCTCTTTCTCAAAAGATAACTGTAGTAAGGTTTTTCAGAATTCTGCCATAACAACTTCTTGTTATGTGCTTAAAGCAGCAAACTAGACACTGTTGTTGTAAACTGTTATTATAGCCATAGTACTTGAAATGCATATATTAGTGACTGGCAATTGGATTTATCCTTACTGCTTTTAAAGCAGATTTTCCTGGCAAATAAAGGTCTGGTGACCAGATAGGTCACAGAAGTCTGTCACAGCAGGAAGGCCATATGAGCTCATGTTCTTTTCTCCTGTTTTTCTTGCCTCCTTCTTCTCACTGAAGAGGTTTAAAATCCTGGTCTAGACTGAATTAAAACAAGCTGACTTTTGTCTAATCTTCTAAATAATCCTGATATAATTTTGTATTGATAGGTTTTGCTTATTTGTTGTTTTTAAGAGATTTGTTGGCTACCTCGGGCAAAACTATGGAACAAGCAAAAACTTGTGTTTTAGGATCCTAACTTCTTTTTAAATCTCTTTCCTCTTTTTGGCTTCTTTTAGCTGGTTTCTGGGATTTATTGGTTCCTTTTATTGCTCAAAATGTTCTATCCAGACCTGCCTTCTAAATTTAACCCCCACCAAACTTCCCACCCTGTCAAAAACTACTTTTCCCAACTGAATGGAACTATGAGTATCAGAAGGTATTCAAAACCAAATTCTACTATCTGATAGAAGGGATTTAAACATTTTTTAATTATTATTTTGGATGCCTCTTTTCATATGTGTTTGGTTGTTCCCATTCTCCCTTTATTACTGGGGAACAAAATAAAGAATCTTTTTAGTATTATGTCATTCATTTATCTCTAAAGCATCATTTCATGGAGACAGTGACATGGAATGGAAATTTGGGAAATGTATTTTATGGGTTTGTCCTGTAGAACAAATGTTGGAAATATCAGACTACATATTTTTCAGGTAATGAAAGTAGTTTTTATCTTTTACTAATAGAGGCGAACATGTATTCCCATGAACATTTACTGCTAACAAGTTTTCTGATTAAAACAAATTTTTTTTTTTTTTAGGCTGATTGAATCAAGTTTGGGGAGCATTGCCACAAAGTTTAACTTCTTCATTCACAACCTTGCTCAGCTGCGTTTTTCTGGTCTTCCTTCAAATGATGAGCCCATCCTGTCATTTTCACCTAAAAGTTACTCCTTCAGACAAGATGGTCACATCAAGGAAGTCTCTGTTTTCACCTATCACAAGAAATACAACCCAGATAAACATTACGTAAGTTTGCTTTCAACATTCGTAGACACTTACGCATGCGTTGTTGTCCTCCATTCCTGCTTCCTTCATGACTCTGCTGAAGTGCCGGGCATCTGTTCTGTTCATGTGTAGTTCTTCCACAAATTGTCCAAATAAATCAATGTACTTCAGGTATCCCTAATTTTTTTTTCATGTTTTATTGTGAATTATATGATATTTTACATGAGAGAACTTTAGTTTTACATTCATTCCATCGTATATCATCTCATTGCCATGGTTCCAATCCCCTCCATGCATCATCAACGGACCAAAGGGTATATATGCCCTATAAACCTGCCCCCTATACTCCCCCCCACTTATTCAGGACCCAGTCCCTCTCCCTCTCTGCATCCAAAGTCCCCATCCGCTTCATCACTCCACGTCATCGTCTCTGCTTCCATCTCGGGCCTCGCTGCTTCTCTGGGTAGAGTCCCGCTCTCGGCTCTTCTCCACTGATGGTCCCAGAGACCTCCGCTCCTAGACTGGAGAGTCAGTAATTCCCTTCCTTGCTACCAAACGTCTACCTTTACATTTCCAACCCTCACAATCAGTCCTGATAACAATCATTCACTATTGTATCACAAGTGACCCATCTGCATTTCATTTCATCAGCTCCACCTAGACAGATTGGATAGTACTCACTGGAGAGTCTGCCTTCTTCCATGCCCCCTAGCTCTAGGTTCCCTCTTGAAAGCTTGTAAGCCAGTCACTTCTTGCCTTTGTAGCTCCCTCCCCACCCCCCAATTTGGGTATTCAATGTCCAAGTTGCCCATCGCTGTCTACTCTGTATGTGGAGGGGGTGGGAATGTTTCTTGCTGTATCCCTAATATTTTATTGATACTTATTAATCCTTGATAATTTTGCTTCAAAACAAAACCATAATAGCCAAATAATAGTCTTCCTTTCAGAGACAAAGCTACAAGCCTACTATTATTTTGTTATTACTTTTAATTTTTTCTTAATTTCAAAAGTAAAACTTGCTCATTATAACAAATTGAACCAGTATAAAATACCTGAAATAAAAAACCTGAGTTCTCATTCTGTTCTTCAGGGATAAATTAACATAACAGTCACACATGAAGTCTGTTTTTTAATAAAAATAAGATCTTCATTGTGCTTTGTTTTTACTCCTGTGCTAAATTTTTGTTAAATAATATTTCCCAGCACTGTCAGTCTTCTCATTTTAGACAAATTGGTAGATTTCAGAACTCGTTTTACTATTAGTTTAATTTACATCTGTTTTACTGTTTATACATTTTAGTATCTTTTTGTCTGTCTTAAATACTGTATTTGTCCTGGAAACTACTTTTCATTTGTCCATATTGTGCCTATGTAGGGTTTTGTTTTTCTTTTTGTTTTGATTGCAGGACCTGAGACCTTTTGTTCTGTAGCTATTTTAACCTACTCAAATTGTCTTAAAAATTTGTACAATTTTTTAATTTAGGATTGTCAGATCTGTGTATTGCTTTAAAAAAAAACAAACCAACTTTTTTTTTTAAATAACAATTAAAGCCTCAGTTCTTCTAATTTTTATAAATACGAGGCTAAGTCAAAAAGTATTGCTACAAAATCATAGACCATTTTATTTTGAAACATTTATATTTGAAGCTATTGTTCCTCAACATATTTTAAAATCTATATACTTCTGAAGATAGTGTTTCCATCCCGCTAACCAAAGGAGCTCTGGTAGCGTAGTGGTTATGAATCGGGCTGCTAACCTCAAGGTCGGCAATTTGAAACTACCAGCCGTTCCCGCAAAAGAAAGATGAGGCTTTCTGCTCCTGTAAAGATTTACAGCCTCAGAAACTGTGCAGGGTCACTATGAGTCGGAACCAACTCCGGTACTTAATAACAACTTAATAACAATAACAACTTAATAACAACTCACAGTACTTAATAACAACAACAACCCTTTTCCAAAGAACTCATTGCTCTTCAGTTTACACCACATCTTAACAACAGCTCAATGGAGAAAAGATTAAAGTTACCAAGGACTTCGTTCTTCTTGTATCAACTGCCAACATTCATGGAAGCAGCAGCCAAGAAATCAAACGACATATTGCATTAGGCAAATCTGCTACACAAGACCTTTTTAAAATGTTGAAGAGCAAAGATGTCAGTTTGAGAACTAAGGTGCGCCTGACCCAAGCCATGGTATTTTCCATAACCTCATATGCATGAGAAAGCTGGACAGTGAATAAGGAAGACCATAGAAGAATTGATGCTTTTGAATTATGGTGTTGGAGGAGAATATTGAAAGTGCCCTGGGCTACCAGAAGAACCTACAGATCTGTGTTGGAAGAAGTGCAGCCAGAATGCTCCTTTGAGACCAGGATTGTCAAACTTTGTCTCTCATATTTCAGACATATTGTCAGGAGGAAAGGATATCATGTTTGGTAAGGTGAAGGATTAGAGACAAAGAGAAAGACCCGCAGCGAGATGGATTGGCAAAGTGGTAGCATCAATGGGCTCAAGCATGGCAACGATTGTGAGGTTGGCCCAGGAACAGGCAGTGTTTTGTTCTTTTGTACATAGGGTCACTATGAATCGGTACCAACTCGATGGCACCTAACAACAACAGTTTTAGCATCTTATGGCACTCAAGTCATGATCCCTTTCAATGTTCTTTGAGTTTGGAGAACAAAAAGAATTCTGAAGTAGCAAGATTAGGGCTGTAGGGTGAATGAGGTAAGTTTTGCAATTCATGTAGAACAGCGTTTTACTTTCAAAGAATGAGCAAGTGCATTGTCATAATGGAAAACAACTCCTTGACACAACTTGCCTGGCTTTTGTCTCACCAATGCCACTTTCAGTTTTCTTAAAACATCTTAGTATACCCCCTGGTCGCCCTGTGTCCTTTGAGAAAATCTATCAAGATTGCACCTTGGAAATACCCAAAAACAGTCTCCATAATCGTTTGAGCCAACCTATCTTCCCTGAATTTAACTGGCCCAGCAGATCCCGTTGGAAACCGCTGTTGTGATTGGACTGTGCTCTCTGGATATTGGTAAACCCACACTCATTCATGGTTATAATTGTCCTATCAAATCATCTTCATAAGCTTTCATCTTGATTCAAAGACTAATGAAAAGATCAACTCTTTGAGCTAACTGATCCTCATGCAGCACTTTTGAAAACCATAGTTGAAAACTTGCTGAAGCCAAGATGTTTGCTTAAAATTGAAAATGCCAAACCATGTGAGATCCCAAAATCAGTAGCTGTTGCACCACTGATATTTCTATGATTTTTTTTCCATCAGTTTCTGGACTTCAGCCACAGTTTTCTTCATTCATTCATTCAAGATTGAAGTCTTCCTCTTCTTAATTTATCTTTATGAGATCTTCTCGACGTTGCATAAAATGCTTCATCTAAAACTGCTGTTTTATGTGGGGCAGCGTTCCCATAAACTTGTTGCAAAGCTTCTATGATTTAGGAAGATGTCCACTGGAATGTTGTTTTTGATATTAGCCCTAATCTCAAAATCAGTTTTTTTTCCATGGCACAAACAGTATGACTAAGACGAGTGCTTTACTGAGAGAGCTTGTCTGCAGCCATCCACTAATTGCAGAGACACGTTTAAACACATTTTGTTGGGAATTAACCTGTGCACATATGATATAGAACCCTAGTTGCAATACTTTTTGGTTTAACCTAATATATAGGCATTTACATTTTAGGATAGCTAATTAACACCATTTAGTAAGACAAAATTTTCCTCATTTTCCCACCCCTATAAAGTTTGCTTTTGTTCCCAATTTACTCTACCAGACAAGCTTACTTACTAACATTATCATTAGAAGTATATTAAATGTATAGATTTTAAAGTACATTAATTATTTAATCCTAGAAGTAAGTCTACTTTCACTTTCAAGTTCCTGTTATATATTTTACTATGATTATGGTCATTCTTGGTGCTTGGTCCTCATGTGGTGCCAGGGATTAATGCGCCGGCCTGTAATGTTGGTTTGAGCCAGAACATCGGCAGTTCAGGCTCACCAGCTGCTCCTCAGAAACCCCTGTTCATGATAGCTAGGAGTCGGAACTGACTCTATTGCAATTAAACAACAACAATATGATCACTCTTAGAATATAGCTCTCAAAAGCTAAACTCACTGCCTTCAAGTCGATTCGAACACATAGTGACCCTGTATAGAGTTTCCAAAGCTTTAAATGTGCTATACATATGAATTTTATATTTGCTGTTTCCCACTGGTAGCATATTACCAGATTAAAAGCATTTGTACTATAATACAGCAGTTAAGTTATAAATTTTTTCATGTCAGGAAAGGGGTTTATATTACAAGTTTAATGTGAATTTGGGCTTTGATTTTGTTTCAGATTTACGTAGTTCGACTTTTGAGAGAAGGACAGCTTGAACCATCATTTGTCTTCCGGACTTTTGACGAGTTTCAAGAACTTCACAATAAGCTGAGTATTATTTTTCCACTTTGGAAGTTACCAGGGTATGTACCTATCCTTGCACGTTATCAATCTTTTTTTTAAGGAAACAATTTCTTTGTTATCAAATATAAGTCAAAAGCTTTGTATTAACAGAAGTTAACTGATTTTCCTTTTTATCACAAGGCCTAATAAACAGTGCTGAGCATAGACAAGCTATACGTTCTTTTTTTCTTTTTCTTTTTT